AGGTAGTGGTGGGCACAGACCACACTGGTGATGATGAGTTAGCTGTACAATGAAGGCATGTAGTAAAGATAACTGCACAGCTATACATGGTGAAAAATTATATATTGCCATGGGGGGAAAAATAACATGGAAAAGCTTTTGAGGAAATTTGCAGTTTCTGCAAAATAGTTCGGGTTTCCTCAACCAATTATTAGACAGGTTCTAAGGAAAAATCTATGAATGACTGAGGCGGCGAACTCTGAACTGCATTTTTTGCGGCCGTTTACTTAATTTTGAGTGCTAACAGATCAAGCAGTCTTTGTTTAAAACTTAATCATCAAATAACTTATTCTCTAAAGAACACTTGTTTTGCATTTCTTCTTGTTTTTGTTCAAAATATAAAGGCTGTCCATCTTCTGGGTTTACAGGATCAATACTTGGACACCTAAAATGGTTTAAAATGCACATTTAATTTCATTTTTATATTTTCAAAAATTTACTCTGACTTTTAAAAAATGTAAATTGTTTTATGATTCTTTTTTGTGTGAATCTGACAGATTAAATTTAAATTCAGAAAATGACTTTTATTATTCATTACTTTTATTATTTGTTTACTTAAATATGTTATAACACCTATAATATTTCAAAGAAATGCTAAATTTGGTGAATCTAACAGTGTCTTTAAGAAAATTGTAATAATTTTATAAACATGGATTTTATGGGTTTAACACACAAGTTGAATTTTTCAAACGGAAAATGAAAAAGAGGAGTCACTCCTTCCAAGGATTTTAAAGTAAAAGAATAAAAACTGTGTCCTGAACGAGCAGATGTTTTTGTGTGATTATCTGGCTTAAAACAGGTTTCCAGTTTCTATTAAAGGATCTAAAAACTAAACATTAGTGAAGTTTCTGCTCTTGATCTCATGCCTGGTTGTCTCTGTGTTTAAGGGTTTGTTTGCAAAGCTGAAGTTGGTGGGAGACCCCCGAGCAGTTGAGCGCTTCTGTGACGAGGGCGACGACCCAAGTGACGTGAGGACCGTCTTTCTTGAGTGATTTAAACCGAAGTGTTTGAATGTGTTTGTGCGACACATTTTTCTTTGTGTTCATGTTCAGGCTTCTGGTGAAGGCAGTGGTGAAACCAACAGGAAGCTGGAGGAAAACACTGTGCAGGTCTGTGTGAGAATCTAATTTCCCCAAGTTTCTGCTTGAACTCTCCAAGTCCGTTCAAACTTGATGCTAACATCTAAAAAAAGGGGTGTTTTACATTGTGATGGTGGAAATAAATTGGATATGTAGTGTGTGGAAAGTATGTCCTGGCCCAAAATTAGTTAACAAAGTTTGAGAACATCAAATCCAGCACGGACCGAGGAGCCTCCTAAATGTCTCAGAACATTTGCATTTACATTGTTTATTAAGAGGAACTACTCTGTGGGGCGAATTAATTATTTTACATGGGGCAGCACCCCACCTGCCCTTATGGACCGGTTGTGCCTGCTGCATATATACCAACATTTGGCACTACAGAGCACTCTTTTCTTTATTTATTTATTTATTTATTTATTTATTTATTTATTTATTTATTTATTTATTTATTTATTTATTTATTTATTTATTTACAACTAATAGGGTTTAAATTTTTTTCTCCTCAGACAACTCCCCTACCACATCCATTTCCAAAGCCACTCGTGATTCCCTCAAAAGGTAAGAAAGAAAAAAAGAATTTGCAGCAAGGTGTTGAATGCTGTGACCATAGAATGGAAAAGTAAAAATGCAAGTTTAGATAACATGCTACTTTTGTAGTGAATCTGTGCAGTGATCTGTCTGGACTTGAAAGTGAGAGATCTTAAACTCCCCCTGGTGGATAGTAAGAGAAGTTCACGTCTTTCAGATAAATGCTGCCACAAGTATTCCAGTTTGTGAGAGGGGGTTACAACTATATAGCGGCACAGAAACATTTTATTTACAAATTAATGAAAGTATATCAGCAACAGAAGACCTGCTCATCCAGCCTTACATGTTTGAGCCAGAGTTTGATCCAGAACCCTGTAGTTAGTAAGATCTCGTTTAGATGTTCCGTTTCAAATAATTTGACATAATAGTTCAGAAAACGTCAAAAATATGACTCAGACAGAATATAAATATATTTTTAAAGCACCAGGAGAAACTAAATTCAACTTTTATGCCTCCTAGAGACTTCAAGTACACAAAATATATTTAATGGCTAAAAAAGTGGATTTTGTATGATATGTCCCTTTTTAAATTTATTTTAAAAATTGGTTTAGGAAATGTTCCTCAGAAGATGACATTTAACAATTAAGTTTGTAGCAGTTGCCCTTATTTCTGTTTTATCTAATTTAAAACTTGCATCCTAACATCTAATAAAAATTTCCAAAAAAAGTAAACACATTAAAAGTTAGTTTATTTATGCTCCTCTACCAAAAAAAAAAAAAAAAAAAAGAAAAGAAAAAGGAAATTTGCTCGACCCTATCTTTACAGCCATAGAAAGAAAAACAAAAACTCCACCTTCTTTCAGTTCCAGGATTTTCCCTCTCAGGACAATAAAAATGATCTGGTCTTTGTCATGTTTTTAAATTGTTCTAATCAAACCTCAAATGAAGAAAAACGCACAACAAATTCCATTGTCATTATTTATTAAACAAAAACAAACAGAAAATCTGTGTTTTCAACCTTGCTGCTTCCACAGGATGATCAGCCAGGAGCTACTGATTAAATGTATTGATTAATTGATCATCATCTGTGGCAGTGGGACAAGTCCATCACAGGGCCACATGGAGACAAACAACAATTCACTCTCTCAAGCTCACCTAGGGACAGTTTAGAGTTAACAATTAGCCTAACAGTCATGTTTTTGGTGTGTGGGAGGAAGCCGGAGTACCAGGAGAAAACCCACACATGCATGGAGAGAACATGCAAACTCTACTCAGAATGGTCTCCAGGCCAGGAGGAAACTGAGCCTCCATGCCACACAATTCCAGAGAAGTTGGGAGGGTTTTATAAAACATAAATAGAAACAGAGTACAATGATTTGCAAATCCTTTTCAACCTTTATTCAATTGAATACACTACAAAGTCAAGATATTTACTGTTCAAACAGATAAACTTTGTTATTATTATTATTATTATTTTTTGCTAATATTTATTTATTTTGAACTTCATGCCTGCAACACATTCAAAAAAGCTGAGACAGGCAACAAAAGACTGGGGAAGTTGAAGAGTGCTGTTATGAGCGTTCCTGGTGCTATCCCTGTTCCACTGATGGTGATCAGAGGGTTTGGTGACTCTCGTGTGTGGCAGCCTCACCTCTGTCAGTGTGCCCTAAGACAGCTGTGGCTACAGTGTAGCTTACCACCATCAGTGTGTGAATGAGGGCTTGATAAAGCTCTATTTAAGTTCTGTCCATTTACCATTCCACAGGTGAACAGGTTCCATGTTGAAAAGTATTTGCAAATCATATTCGGTTTTTATTTATGTTTTACACAACGACCCAACTTCATTGGCAGTGGGGTTGTAGAAGGCATGCAGCAGAAAGCATCTTCTCTCTAAGAACATGGCAGTGCAACTTGGGTTTGGAAATTTTCATCGGAAGCAACCATAATACAAAACAAGACCAAAGTAAAGATGTTTACCCATAATGCACAGCAGTGTGTTTGGAGAAAACAAAAAAACTCGCACTGTATCTACTGTTAAGCATGGGTGGTGGAGGGTTGATTAGTTTGGACTGCTTGCAATCATTGAATCAAACATGAGCTCCTCCGTAGACCAAAGGGTTCTCCAGTCAAATGTGAGAACATCTGTCCAACATCTGAAGCTTTATCCAAACTGGATCAGTCTTTCCAAACAGCACACAGCAGCTAATCTACAACAGAATTTCTCAAAAAGAAAAGAATCAAGGTGCTACAATGGTAAAGTCTTAAGTCCAGAACCTGACCCCGGTTGAAACAATGGGACCTTCACAGAGCTGAGCAGAAATGGTCTGCAAACGACTGAAGTTCTGGTGGAAAGAAGAGTGGGCCGGAATTTCCTCCACTGCCATGTGAGAGACTATTGAAGCTCTACAGAAAACCACTACTTAGAGTTGTTGCAGTTAAAGGAGGTTCTACAAGATTCTGGATTAGGAGTTGTATATTTAACTCACTTTAATATTTTAGAGGAATTTTCTAAAATAAATAAAGACATGATGGAATTTGCTGTTGTGTGCACTTCAGGTTGAATAGTTTTGGACCAGATCATTTTTATTATTGGGGCAGGGGGCATTTTCCCCTTCAGTGTCCTACATCTAAGATATTTTATTTCCTGTTTTTAAATACGTCTATTTTAAATTTACAATTAAATTACTCTAATTTTGATTGCCTGTCTTGCAGATAGAAAAGTCACTTTGTCCCAGCTGGTGGTAGACCCTCTTTCTCAACGAATCAAGATCTCTGATGCTTCTTCCTACGAATTCACCTCTGCATCAAATGTGGTCCACAAGGCTCTGACATACGTCCCCAATCCTTTCTACGGCAATTTCACCATTTTTTCCCGCTTTCTGATCGACCCGTCAGCTGCCGCCGTCCTCTTCTCCATTACAGATAAGTCAGAGAAGCTCATGCACATCGGTTTAAAACTCGGTGCAGTGCACTCTGGTAGACGAAAGGTGCAGTTCTTCTACACTGAACCCGGATCCGAGGCTTCCAATGAAGCAGCTAGCTTTGACATACCGAGCAGGGCGTACAGGTTTTATATTTTAGGGCTGATTGTGGCTGAGGATCAGGTGACTTTGTACACGGACTGTTCTGAGGATCCACAGGTGGTGAAGCTTGGGCATTCGCTTAATCCAGTGATTCTCGACGAGAAGGCCAAGCTATTTTTGGGTCAGGCAGGGCATGCTGACCCGGACAAATTTGAGGTAATGTATAAGTAACCAAAATTCATTATGTTAAGACAATGCACTGTGTGTCTAAAACATTCATATTAGTTTTAATTTCAAGCAGTTTCTTTTAATCCAAATTCACACATCTTGTTTTATTGTAAGATGTAAACAATTAAGTTCTGACTCAATGGCTTTAATTTTTGACAAGGAAGTGACTGCATAAAATAAGGGGCTTATGTGCCCTAATTTGGCTTTTAAAAAAGTAACAACCAGTCACACCTAAAAGGTAGCAGAAATGGTTTGATTCATTTTATTTTCTGACTAAAATGAAGCCAGAAATCTCTCCATTTATAGCCTTTCTTTGTTTAGAGCCGATGTCTTCAACCCTGACCCTCATGACCCACTGTCCTGCTTGTTTTAACTGTTTCTCTGCTGTAATACACATGATTCAAATAATTAAATTACTTACTCAGTTTAGCAGAAACCTGTCAATCACTCATTTATTGTAGGCAGGTGTGTTGTAGCAGGGCATCATCTAAAAGATGCAAGACAGTGGGTCACACGGAACAGGCTTGAAGACCTCCGGTTTAGAGAATTTTAGGGCTGCAACTAACAATTATGCTTGATAGTCTATTAATCTATCGATTATTTTTTCATTTAATTGATTTGTTGATTAGTCGCCGTTATTTCTGTCACAATGTCCAACTATTCTTCCTCTGGTTAAAGTGACATTCAGGTGCATAAAAGTAAAAAATTAACCCATCCTGTTTGACATTTTGCTGAATCTAAAGGTCCAAAAGTTCAAGTAAGACTTGAACGAAAAAAGAAAATCAACAGGAGGGCTAGACAGGATAAATTATTACTATAATTCAGTGAAAGGATGGCACCCAGTATCTAAAAACTTTAGAGTACTTGATTACTAGACGTCTCACAATGGAATATGCCTCCTATTCCTCAGAAGCATTTATCTCATTACACCAGTTCTGATTAGCTGGTGACTGCGACGCATGCGTCACCTACCCTTTAAGCAGCATCATTCAATAAAAGCACCTCTTTTTGCTTCGCCCCAACAACGAGAAATGACTGGTGAGACATCACACTTATGCTACTCTGAGAACCGGGGTTACTACACAAGTAACATAAAGTTCTCGTTCATAGCATTTGTTTTGATGTCTCACTATGGGATATGGAGACTCCTGAATTGCCAGACAGCATGTCTCTATCGACCCCCAGCACTTAATGGTGCTCTTCTTGTTCCAGTGAAAACCAGAATTTAAAACAGTAGAGGCCACACTTGGAACAACTGATATGATAGAGACTTCTTTTAAAAGGGCCCAGGACACAGCCAGGCTACAGCTGGAGTAGGTACATAGGCCCACAGGTACCTGAAGGCCCTGGCTCATATAGGACAGCGCAGTTGCTCCCACAATCCAGTGGGAGAGCCAATGTTTTATGATGGGCTTGCCCCTTTGAGGTTTTGCCCAGGCTATGAGGAGCTGATTGCTTCTTCGGAAGCTGTCAGTCCTGTCCAAATTGGCACGTAGAGTCCTGGGTGTGGGTGGAAAACTGTTCCCCCTACCTGAGACAACATGTCCTCCTATAGTGGGAGCTGCCGTGGTTGTCCACTCAAGAGCTGATATACCTCCACCAGCCAATGCATCGCTGGCTAAGGTGCAGTGATCAGAATCAGTGTGTGGAGGTGCTGCCTCACTCTAGACAGAGTTGGACCTATCAGAACCAAAGTGGGAAATGTGTGTAGAAGAACGTGGGGCCAGGCGTGTTTGAGTGTGTCCACTCCAAGAAGTCACATCATGATCGCGTATGGAGAAGAACAGTGGACACTGAGCATTGTTCCTGGAGGCAAACAGGTCTACCGTCACCCGCCCAAAGCAGAACCGTTCAACTATGGTTGGGTGTAGAGTCTAGTCTCCGTCCAATGGAGCGCCCTTGGACATCGTGTCTGCACCATGGTTTAGGATTCCATCGACAAGGGTGACCCTGAGTGACAGGATATGCATGCTGCTCCATATTATCAGTTTGTGTGCCAGAGTGTGCAACTGAAGTGAGCGCAGCCCCCTCCCCTGGCGGTTGATATAATCCACTGTAGTCATGTCTGTCCTCACAAGAACGTGATGGCCACACAGGAACGGGAGGAAGCACTTAAGCGTGAGAAACACCACTAAGAGCTCCAGAAAATTTATGTGGGACTGCTGGAGGTTTTGTCTCCAGACACCTCATACAGATCAGCCCTCGTAAATTCCGCCCTATCCTGACAGTCTTGCATCTGTTGTGACCACCTTCTGTGACACAACATGGCCTTGAACTGGAAAATCTGGGTGGAGCCAAGGGTGCAGCGTAGTGAGGCACTCTGTTGTGACCATTACTCTCCATGCATCATGAGGCATGGGGTTTAGTCTGGGATGAAGTGGGATGAAGACTTCATCATTGTTGTCATCATCATCTTCGGACACGAGGAGCTTTGAGATTACCTCGTTATCTTCCTCGTAGTCCAACTCCAGAATACACTCAGCGGTGAGGACGCCACGGCTGGATCCAGTTGGGAGCCCCAGTTGGTTGTAGCCCCTGGTCCGGCATCCACATTTTCCACCCACTCATCGTCATTGCCAGGACGCGGCCCGCTTGTCAACGGGTACATAGTGAACCTGGGGCAGTTCGCGCACGAGCCCGGGATATCAATTGCCAGGTGGGCGTGTTCTAGCCCGAGGCACGTTGAGCACACCTGGTGTGGATCCTTGCTCGAAATTTGGTTCCCACAGCTGCAAACACAAACCTCCGAGTCTCTTCCTCCTCTGGTACGAAAAGTAGTGGAATCCATTTCGGTCACTGGTTTGCTAATCCAAATTTTCACAAACTAACCAGGTATATATAGCCTGGAACAGAAAACTGTATCAGCTGGTGTGTGAATACAGAAACACTCACAAGGCGATATGTGCTCCAGACTATGATGAAGACTGAAGCCACCGCAGCTAGCACACGTAGACAGTAAAGTTTATTTTTCCAGTCAGTGGACAGTTAAGCTAGTCTGCAAGAGATATGTGCCTCGAAGTGAGAAGAGGTTTTTGAATAATGCTGCATCGTGGCATGAGCTACTTAAAGGGTAGTTGACACATGCGTCGCTATCACCAGCCAATCAGGATTGGCGTAATGAGATAAATGCTTCTGAGGAATATGCAGGTGGCTGTATCCCATTGTGAGGCATTAAAACAAATTCTATGAATAAGAACCAGGTCGATCTTTGAGTTTCTGATTCTAGTGGTCACTCTGTAATTTTAGGGTACATTCTCAGCGTTTGAATTGGTGGGAGATGCTCAGGGATTTAAACGCATCTGTGACAATGAGGATTACACCGTGGTGAGTGTTAGTTTAAATTATTCAGGAAATATTCCTCTGTAGAAAATATGTTTTTGTTGGCCTCTTACACCTCTTGTAACTTTATTTTGACACCTTACTGACAGTTATAAAAAGTAGATAATTCAGATATAGGCCTTTTCAAATTTTGTATAATCAGGAACATGCTTACAATTTTAAATGGCATTCAGTGTTGCACTACTGAACTTATTATTATTATTTTTTTTTTGTGCATGTAATTTTTTTGTTTGTTTTTCAGGAAATTGTTAATTCTCCTGAGCTGCAATATATAACTCGATCAGAAGCCAGAATCACAGGTAAAATAAAATGATTGAATGCATAAAAGTGTCTTATCATGCAGCTCCTACTCCAACAGAGAAGTCATGTAGTGTCACTGCAGAAATCTGTACATGAAGCTGCTTGTCTAGACTTGAAACTGAGCTGAGCTTTGCTGCTGTGGTCCAGTTTGTTAGTAAAAGTGAGAAATCTAGCTTCCTTTTTTAATTGGGCCTTCCCCCAGAAATTATTTGGCTCTTTTAGAAGATGGTACTATTTAATGGTTGAACAGAGGGAACATGGATGTTGATGCTTCCTCTGGCAGTTCAGAAGTCACAGATGGAGATGCTCTCTTACTACACTCAAACACACTTTCAGAGAACATTAATCAGTGCAGAATCAAAAAAGACGTGGAAAAAAACTCAGCTCTGACATATCGCAATCACTCAATTTTTTATTTTTATTAACTTATTTAACCAGGTAAATCCCACTGAGATCACATATTTATTTTGCAAGCGAGGCCTGGGCCTGAAGGCAACCTATTGTATAGGTTTTTGGTCCATGGGGGAAACCGGAGTACGTGGAGAAAACCCACGCGAACATACAAACTCTGCACAGAAAGACCCCAGGTCCAAACGGGATTGAAGCCAGGACTTTCTTGCTGTGAGGCATCGGTGCTAACCACTGATCCATGATTCTGCTGACTTTAAGCTGCTGATGAGAGCAGTAGGAGTCGCAGAATGACTTAGGTAGGTCCTTAATATGCTGCTCAGATTAAAGTACGTCCTTCTAAATATTTGGACTCTTTATCACGATTGTACACTGCATTGCACGGTTGTACACTTTTATCCAGACTCTGTGATGATAGTGTGTATTTATTTCCTCCTCTATGACAAGGAGCTTACTGGTCTCAAAAAAAAAAAAAAAAAGGACAGGGTTGTTTCTGTCCCTCCTCTCTACCTCTATTTATTTTCTGAATGGACCAAGATGGTCAGAACATGCGTCAGTAACATGAGGTGTCTTCTGAAAGAGCCTTAAGACATTCTGTTAGGCCATAAAAGATCAGTGGGTTTTACATTTCAGATCAAACCATAACATCCCCCTCGTGCTCTGCCCCTTTACTGCCCAGCCCCTGTAATACCTTATACCGCGATATTCTATAAAGTCTTTATGTCTGTATGAAAAAGACCAATACCGCCCAACTTTAGGTCTGAAAGCTTAGGCTGGATAGCTAGGCTTCAGGAAGTCAGAGCAGCTGTTCAGTTCATAGGCCACAGCTCATAAAGGCAAACCAACATCATGCCAAATGTTAGCACATTGGATTGTGGAGACCAGAGGTCTCTGTTAAAGGTGTAAGGTACAGGGGTCAGATTTATAAAGGATTACGTGGAAACCATACTAAAAGTGAACGTACGGCCAAAAGGCGGAAATGGCGTACGCCAAAAAAAATTCAGATTTATAAAACGGTGCGTACGCATGTTTCTGCGCATCTTTCCTTTATAAATCACAGCTGACGAAGTCCCGCCTCAGGTTCTACCCTCTACACGCCCACACTCAACCATAAACAGTCAATGTAAAGTACCTCATGAATGTTAAGATGTATTTAAATCAGTCAGCTGATCAATGCCAACAAAAGTGATTGGTTCAGACACGCTCCGTCGTGTGTCTGGAGGTTGACGGGTGCTGACTGACAGCTGCTCACGTGAACAGATTGTCTGTAATTGACACAGATTTTCCCTCATTTAGCTTTAAAGTAATCTAACGATTTTTATAAAAAAAACTCAGCTTCAAATTGATTTCCTCCCAGAGCCTGCAGGACGATAAAAACAATAAAAATAAAATTAAATAAGGCAAATAAAATTAGAAATAAGTTCACTGCTCTTCCCCTCGTCCTCTCCCCCTCCTGCCTGCTCTGTTATCCGTGGCAGACCCCCCCCCAACCGCCCCGCGCACGTGCGCACGCACACACACACACACACACACACCGTGCATGCGTGATAAATATGGACTTTGAACATGAAGTTTTTTAACATCCACATTGGCGAGGTGGATGCGCCCTGCGCGTGTCTCCAAAGCGTGACTTTTGCTGTCCTGCTGTTCTTGTCCGGGAGGGGTCTGTGGATCAGGGTGGTCTGAGGAGGAAGCAGTGATCATTACACAGTGTGGCTCTAATTCCTCACTTCACAATCTGTCGCAGTTTCCCATCTCCAAAATGAGCGTACGCCTGGGTCAGAGCTGGCACATTTTCACGTCAAGTTTGGATTTTATAAAACGCTCTCTGGTTTCATTTAAAAGAGTCGATCATCAGATATTGTTCAAGATTAACCTTCAGGGTGGATATAGCTCACTAGCAGCCTCGCACCGAGGACCTATCCACGTCATCATTTACCCAGAATGCTTTGCATGTAAATAAAATGGCCCCGTCCGTGTTAAAATATATTTTAAATAATTTACAGAACCAAACAGCCTACAGTATTTTTACAGTCTTTATTTGATAAACATATATTTTAACTGTAGTCTAATGTTACAGCTAATCGGGGATCCCTTTTAATAAGGTGTTTCACCAACACATCCTGTCATGGATGGACATGGAAAAACACATTTGAACGAATTGGTTAGTTGTGGTATTGTGATGTGGGCGGAGGCTTGCACTGCTGAACTGATCTGTCTCACACAAATGGGATGTCTTTAGGTCTTTTGTTGATTTGTAGTCATGTCAGATTATTTTCTATAATGAAACACCTCACTCTGTTTTTAAATAATCAGGTTTATAGTAAGTAATTCAGTGTTTTACATTAAAACAATTTGTGTTTTTGAGCTTCTGTCACAAACCACCATTCCCAGTTGGTGCTTCTGAATTACATTCTCCTTCAGGCTCCACAGGTCAGAAGGGTGACAAAGGTGACAAAGGTGAGAAGGGTGACCAAGGTCCTGCAGGACCAAAGGGAGATTCAGGTACCAACTTGGGTTCTAGTTCCTCCTCACAACATGCAGAACAAGGACAGCGAGTAAGAAATCTCTCATTTCAGTTTTTGCATCAAAAATGTAGATAAACCTAAAAATAACCTTATTCTTTTTTCTTTTCAGGGAGAAAAGGGAGCAAAGGTATGTCAACTACAAACAGCATTTGTGTTGATTTTATTTCTTTATTGATGAGCAACCAGTGAGTGTCCTGAGGCATTTAAATAAGTGTGTTTTAATTGTTTCACACCACAAACATATTTAAAGAAAACATTCTAATTGAGAACAATACATTTAAATAGTCTTGAATGACACAAATGTACAAATAAATAAAAACAAAATCAGTCTGTAAATGAAAATCCAAATTTAATGTGTCTGTGGTGCCACCTGGTGGTAATGTTCAGACTTGTTTTCCTGTCCACCCAGTTTGAATCTGCTTTCATTTAAACAGTAAGCAGTTTTTTTTATTTATTAATACAACATTTTAACAGTTTCCAGAATTTACTAAATTTTCTGTGATGAACAAAAAAAAGTGCTGAAATCCTCACATTTTTCTCACTGTTAAACCATTTTCTACCATTTTTTTCCAGAGTGATAAACCCATCCTCCCAAAACAGAGCAGTTAAAATATATATTTTTGTCTTTTTGACCAGGGTGATTCTGGCTTCGGATATCCCGGCAAAAAAGGTGAACGTGGTGCCCAGGGCCCCCCCGGCCCCCCTGGCCCACCAGGACCTGCAGCTGAGGTGCTCCAACTCCCAGATGGTTCTGCTGTGCACAAGGTGGCTGGGCCCCCTGGCCCACCAGGATCGCCAGGGTTGGACGGTGCTGCAGGGGAGGATGGAGAGCCTGTAAGTACAGAGATGCTGAGACGTTTCAAGGTGTATATTTGGAAAGATTTGAGTTACTGAGTGATTGGTCTGTTTCAGGGGGATCCAGGAGAAGATGGAAAAACTGTGAGTGACTTAGTTTTTAAACATCACTGTTTTTACTGGATATATTGATTTAATTTGCTCTGGATTTCAGGGTCCTGCTGGGCCACAAGGTGCTCCAGGAAGTCCAGGAACCCCTGGTGCCAAAGGCCAAAAGGTGCAAAACATTGTTTACTATAAACATACAAAAGCCTTGATTTATTGAAATAATTTGGGGTCTCTGAATTATTCCAGGGTGAGGCTGGAGACGGTCAACCTGGTCCTAGAGGCCCTCCAGGTCCACCAGGACCTCCTGGAACTGGCACTGGGGATCGTTCCGTAAGTACACACACGAAGGGCTAACTTTGTAATGACTACGTTTTTAAAAGTCCAAATTCTTTCTTCTTTTTCAGACTTTTGTTGACATGGAGGGATCAGGATTCCCAGATTTGGAAAAAATCCGGGTATGTTGTTTATCATGAACAAAGCTTTTAAGAGTTATTCAGGTTAATATTTGTGGGTTTTTCTGGCTAGGGTCCACGTGGTCCACCGGGCCTCCCAGGTCCTCCTGGTCTTCCTGGAATACCTGGTACTTCAGTGGCACTAGGACCTGATGGTCCAATAGCGTTTGGGCCTTCTGGTCCCCCAGGACAAGATGGAGCCCCTGGTCTCCCAGTGAGTATTGTGTTTTCTGTAAGATGGAATTTTGTTTTGGATGTTTTTTAATCAGGGAGATGAAATATTTAATAAAATGTATTCACTTCATTTTTTGAGCCTTTTACTCTGGATTCTTTTGATAAAAGACTATAAAAATATTTCATAAATACTGCATGTTCATTATGTTGGGGACATGATACTGCTGAGTTGTGAAACCCTCTAAATATTTTGTATCTCCTGTCCAGGGCCTACCTGGTCCCCCTGGTCTTCCTGGTCCACCTGGGCCCAGAGGAGAAAAGGTAAAAAGTCTGAGTCTGACTCACATCCAGTCTCAAACTTCAGTGAGGTGTCTCTGTGCACAGTGTTTACATCAGACAAGAATTAGTCACTTCAGTTTAAATCTCTTATTTCAGCCTCACACACATGCGCGCACACACACACACACACACACACACACACACACACACACACACACACACACACACACACACACACTTTATACAGTCATATAAAAAAGTTTGGGCACCTTTGTTAATTTTCCTGATTTACCTTTATAAATCATTGATTGTTTGGATTAAAAATATCAGTTAAATTTATCATTTAGGGGACAAACACAGTGATATTTGAGAAGTGAAATGAAGTTTATATGATTTACAGAAAGTGTGCAATAATTGGTAAAACAAAATTAGGCAGGTGCATAAATTTAGGCACCATAAAACAAACCTTAACTCAATATTTAGTAGATTCTCCTTTCACAGAAATAACAGCCTCTAAACACTTCCTATAGCTTCTAATGAGAGTCTGGATTGTGGCTGAAGGTATTTTAGACCATTCTTCTTTACAAAACATCTCTAGTCCATTCAGGTTTGATGGTTTCTGAGCATGGACAGCTCTCTTTAAGTGACACCACAGATTTTCAATAATATTCAGGTCTGGGGACTGAGATGACCGTTCCAGAACGTTGTACTTGTTCCTCTGCATGAATGTCTTAGTAGATTCTGAGCAGTGTTTAGGATGGTTGTCTTGTTGGAAGATCCAGCCCCGGCTTCAGCAGCTTCAGCTTTGTCACTGATTCCTGGACACTGGTCTCCAGAATCTGCTGATATTGGTTGGAATCCATGCGTCCCTCAACTTTAACAAGATTCCCAGTTGCTGTACTGGCCACACAGCCCACAGCATGATGGAGCCACCACCACATTTTACTGTAGGTAGCAGGTGTTTTTCTTGGAGTGCTGTGTTCTTTTTCCTCCATGAATAACGGACCTTGTTCTGCCCAAATAACTCTGTTTTAGTTTCATCAGTCCACAGCACCTTATTCCAAAATGAAGCTGGCTTGTCCAAATGTGCTTTAGCAAACCTCAAGCAGCTCTGTTTGTGATGTGGGCGGAGAAAAGGCTTCCTCTGCATCACTCTCCCATACAGCATCTCCTTGTGT